AGTAGTAGTGGTAGTAGTAGGAGCAGTAGCAGTAGCAGTAGCAGTAGCAGCAGCAGTAGCAGTAGCAGTAGCAGTAGTAGTAGTAGTAGTAGTAGTAGTAGTAGTAGTAGCGGTAGCAGTAGCAGTAGTAGTAATAATAGTAGTAGTAGTAGTGGTGGCGGAGTAGTCGTCGCAATCGTAATGGTAGGCAGTAGTAGAAACAGTAGTACTAGTAGTAATACTAGTACTGGGGGCGCGCCCCCCAAAATACCAGGTTCTGGGGAACGCAACACAGGAGCCTGTTCTCATATATCACGAAAAGCACGCCGGCGCCGTTGAGATCGCGCTTTTCAAGCATCTTCTGGAACAGGGTGATAGGTCATCGTTGTCGTCGTAGCTGTGGCAGTGCTAGTAGTAGCAGTAACAGTAGCAGAAGTAGTAGGAGTAGGAGTAAGAGGAGGAGGAGTAGTCGTAGCAGTATCGGGAGTTGCTTGAGTTACAGTGGCTGTGCTAACTCGACAATAGACGTTTGCTCTCTCAGTTACATGTACTTGCTATCGGGTTTAGGGGGCTTCGGTTCGGTTTGGCTCTGCTTCTGTCATGTCGCTGCGAAGATGCAGACAACCAGGAAGGTCACAGGTTCACGTCGTCATCGGAGCTTCCGAGAGGCTTCTGCGTCAACCTGGCCAGCACCAAACCGTACTCGATGTGGGTGTCTACATTAGGGTCTGGCAAGGACTCCACGGACATTATATCAAGAACTCATGAGCGGAGTACAGCTTGTTGGCTTCTTTTGCCCGTCCGGCTTGAACCTCAGATTATGGTGCAGGCAACTGTTGTGCCCCTGCACCGAAGCCAACGAGCATACTGAGACTAGGACGTCCTCAACGTTTGAGCAGAATTTGTCCCTGCAAGTCTAGTAGCTGTGCCGACACACTCTTGTGATAGGCACATATGCCAAGTTCGTGTCTGCGAGAATTAACGCTCTCAAAAAACGGCAGCAAGCTTGTCCACATGCCAAGCATGGATGGCGAGCTCTGCTTAGTGACTAAGTCTCCTTCTGAGGACAAGGCGGCAGGATCAACTTCCAGAAGCTTCTGTATGGCAGGATGCTCAACTGCACGCCCTGAAGAGGTCTGCAGTAACTCTTCAATGCGAAAGGGTCAATGATGCGTGCGACTTGCGTTGCCCGAATGACCGTAGCTGCTGGCTCTACTCTCGGACGGAAGGAGGTCCTGGGATGCTGTATGATAATATGCGTGAGCCGTGTCTCAGTGCAGTTTTGTGATTCTGCCCTGCCAATTTCTCTGCCCAGGCCCTAGCTTCACACTTTCTAAGCAACCGACGACCAGCAAAGAACGCAAGCCCCGGTCCGAGCTCCCCGCAGTGTAACCTCTGGCCTTCTCCGCATCCTCTGGACTCGTGGCCGAGAACCTTCGCATGCGCTTCATGCACTTAGCTTAGAACCCTGCAATTCAGAGGTACGCCTGTGACGGAGACTGGGGCAGAGTTTTCTGAGATAGCAGCATGAGATTGTGGAACCTCATCATTGGCTGGCCAAGCGTCCTGCGCAACGCTACCGGCAAGGGCGAGGAGACTAGAATGAGGCGTAGCTTGCAGCATCCTCTCAGGTGCATCCTGATGGGAAAACACCTCGCAATCGCTGCTGGCGGCTGGATACATCTGCATGAGAAGCTGGAGCAAGTGGCTCAGGCCCATCTCAGAGCCCCGCGTAGAACGCATAAAGTGTGTGCAGCGATCGTGGCTCTGGCAAGGGCACCTCTGTAGATGACCATGAGCTACGCATAGCTACCCTGTACCTTCTGCATTGTTCGGAACCATCTGCACGAATTCAGCGTGGCCTTATCGAAGGTGTAGATCTGGCCAGCTACGCACCTGCAAAATATCTAGCAGGAAAGGTGCGTCCTCAGTCTCTTTGTGACTGCCGGCTCTGAGCAAGCAATGTACTTGCATACCCTACACTGCCTCAGCAGCAGGACAATTGACAAACACCATGTCCGGCTGCCTTATCCATGCAGGATTCGCGCACACACACACACATGCACATGACTGAGAGGACGAGAAGTCCCGGTTCAAACGACTGGATACCACGCAGCGGAACATAGCGAAACAAGCTGCATCACGCCTGTTACACACGATCTGAGGCTTTGGCGAAAGGCCATGGCGGCCCCAACTCACGGAAGTTGAGCTGGTTCCGCACTATGCCCCAGGTTTGCCTCTACTTTCGCAACAATTCGATGGAGCTTGAGTTGGAACATCCTGCTGAACATGCACAAAGCTTGCAGGCTTGTCTCGTGCACATCATGGCGAGCTGCGCAGTTCACAAGAAGCACATGCTGTATCTGCCGCACTGTTTTCAGCGGCTCGTGGCGCCCCGGAGAAAGGGGCTTGTGAGGAAGCATCGCTCTCGGGTCCTCGAGTTTACATGGCCTCGGGGGGATTCGTTGCCCTCTTGTTGGCGAGACCGGGTCGCGCTTGCGGATCAGCGCATCGGTCGACTTGTCGCAGCGTTTAGGGCACGTCGATCCCTTCATCAAGACGCTGTGCCAGGTTCCTCCTTGCAGGACAGTGCTGCGCCATGAACTTCTTGGGCACAGGTGGATATCTTCGAGACATGCAAGGTGCCTCCTTGGGGTTCGGCTCCCGTGAATCCGCGGTTGCAGAAAACGTGTTGGCCAGGAACCTTAATGCATCATCTTCCAGAGACTATCGCCTGGTAGTGCGACAATGTGCGAGATGGTGAACGAATCTATGGCGAATAATCTGTGGGCAGCCAGCATTTCTTTGTCGAACTCGTTGTCGCAAAGCCGGGCTTTGTCCACCTTGCATGCAAGCTGAGCCTATGGCACGCCCTCTACATCTCGTGCACGGCAATGCCTGCCTTGCGAGCCTGCTCCCGTGCCTGAGCACGGGGTGGCACCAGGCAGCTACGACACAACACGCGGATGTCTGCGTACTACAATCCCATGTCTTGGTGCAAAGGCTCTCCAATGCTGGCCAAGCCCAGTACTAAAACATACTGAGCGGTATCCACTTGTGATGCATAAACCTGGAACCCTCCTGCTTTAGCAAAACCCTGTGCAGGCAGTCTTAAGGAGTCTGCAGATTCCAGGCGTTCACGTTGTGCAGCCTGTGCTTTGGCAGCCTGTGAAGTAGAGTCTCAGAGCCATTTTGACAGTCTGCGGATCAGTGCGAAAGCAACTGCAGTGTGCGGACCTCGAGGCCTCCGCATCCCCACACCTGACATCTGTGTGCGTCCAGGTGCTCGTGTAGCCGCAAGCTGGACCTCGACGTTGACGACGTCGAAGCGAGTTTGAAGGCCTCCCTGTGAGGGAAGCAGCCTCGCACATGTGCTTGCTGAATAATGTAGGCGCAGTTCAGAGTCCATTTTCGGCCTTCCAGGTCCGTAAGTCGCGTCGGATTCAAGGACATAGCAATCCTCAAAGTCTGCATCCAGCCACAGCCTTCTGAGCAGAATCAAACATGTTTCGCACAGCTGAGCACATCAAACTCTCTCGATTCCATACTTCTGCGAGAATTTTCGCACCTGCAGAACCCCAGCTGTCCGCCAAAGCCGAGCCCTCGAGGATAGTGCTTGTTCCGCCTGAGTGAGACATAGGCATCGGCAAACGGCTATGCCCCCAAAGCCTATCACCATGAGTTGGAAGTGCCGGAACGAGTCCTTTCCTCTGAGACAGACAAAGAATTCGTAAAACTGCGCAGCGCGCTCGGTCACACGCTAAAAGTCACGAAACACACACCAGTGGAAAGCGGAGGGTTCATGAGGTGGCGATTGCTCGGGGGGTGAGGAGAGGGAGAACCAGCTCTGATAGTCTTCGCACTTCGAACTCAGGGCACTACGAGTTGAAATACACATAATTCCCGGTCCGGCTTGAGCTTTTGCACCTTGTCTCCAGGTTCGTCGAGTCGAAACCACTCATGGCCGTAGATGTTTCGAGGGCCCCGGCTGGACGAAGGCAGGCTGCAGTGCAAACCTCAGACTGCAAAGACTACCAAGACACAGGAATATGTTTCGCGGTGATTGAGGCCTTCACAAGAAGCTCTCCATGGACCCGCCGAACTTGCCATTTCCCTCGACCCAGGACCTGTCGAGCAGCCGCATCCGACTCCAAGGTGCTTTGCTCATCGCTTCACCGGGGGCCCACGTTGATAGGGCTCCGAGAATCGAGTCAGGCGTTCGGATCAGGACCAAGGCGGGCCCTTCGTAGAAGGAAGCGCCCTGAAGACATGGCAATTGTGGCAATGAGCTTATCTGATTATCTAGAATAGGGGCAGTGAGCAGCACTGCCTTTATCAGGGCATTGAAGGACATACCGTCGCACCAGTCGCGGTACAATGGCTGCCACTCTTCGGACCTCTGCTAGCCACAAACAGAGGAAGCTCAGCTGTAGGAATCCAGGCTCGAGGCTCCCAAAGTCGAGCATCGGAGCCCCGTAGCAACCTGGGTTTAGGGCCAGGGCAGGGGTCGAAAGGATCTCGGATTGCGTAGATCCTGAGATCTGAACAGGTGCAGTCCCGCCTGACAGGTGCCAGGCTTGCAGTACAAACCGAACGACAAGCCCAAATTGAAGATCTTCCTATTATCTTCCCAGCGCCCAGATTGGGGTCAAGGGGCAGACAGGACTCGGCTCTCCAGCGCGGGAATGGGCGGCAGAGCCTGTTCGCAGCAGAGCGCGACGCACTGTGTCCGCCGTGCAGGTTCCTTTTCTGAGGCAGAAGCAGCACAGCCCACCAAAGTGTGCCCCAAATTCGCCGCAACAGCCCTCGGCAGCATTGGCAGACTTCCTCGCCAGGTCAGCTTTTCCGCTGCGACTCTGCCGCTTCTTTGAAATGCCGGATAGCTGCAATCGAGACCCCAAGCTGCCTTGAAGCCACTGGGCCAAAGCCTCGAGGGTCGTCATCTCAGCCCCGGCAGTGACAGCAGCCACCTCTGGCATTCTTGTGGCTGTCGCGTTTGAAACACGAACAAAGCGCTACGACACAGCGACCCTCCGCTATGCTGAAGCAATTCTACATACTGGGTTCTTTCCGAGCAAATGTTCCATCTACAGCACAACCGCTTGTCGGGGTCCTTGCCATCGCATCGGGACTGACAGCCTCCTGGCAGTGTCACGTGCACATGTGCTGACTCAGATCAATGAGGGTCGCATCAGCATAGGCTGTTAAGGCGGTATCCTGCTCTTCAGGTGATCTCTCTGCAAAGGCTGACCAGAAGCACCTGGCTTGCTTGTCAACGACTTATGTACGCATGGTGAACATGCATCTCGCTCCTCCGAACTGCACGGCAGAAGCCCTGTCAATCTGCTACTGCTACCACCGTTGAAAAGGATGCGATTCGAAAGTCCCCAGCACTGGGGTCCCCCTGAGGCCGTGTTTGGCTGGGGCAACACACTCCAAGGTAGGGTTCGTTGTAGTCAGCGACAGGTGGAAGCGTTCGGCTCCAGCACGCTTGTGTAGAAAGGAGTCTTGCGGGCCTTGTGCCGCTACCAGCAAAGCCTGCAACAACGAAACCGCTAAGTTAAATGCAACAACAACAACCACTACCACTACCACTACGACTACTGCGACTACTACGACTACTACGACGACTACCGCTGCCGCCACCACCACGACGACGACGACGATCACTACTTCTGGTACTGCCGCTGCCCGACTGCTACCTGCCGCTTACGGCTTTGAATAGTGGCAGTGATGCAGAGTTACAGCCAGCTCCAGGAACAGGCTCAGCCTGAAGCGCAGTGAGCGCCGGGCGGTACATGTTCGCATGCAAGAGCCATGGGCCCCCCGGCTCTTGCTCACCCGTACCTGAAGTAAACTCAGCTTTTCCATCCCGGGACTCATGACACCTTCCGGGGTCACTGACAGAAACTGGCTCGGCTCCAGTGAGTTCCTTGCAATGAGTGCAGAAGCATCTGGCAACTCGCGGATTCCTTCAGGATCTGGCTGCGCTTGCTATCCGGGTCCTCCTGTGCCAGGTGTGTTTCGGACCATACCTGGTCGACATGATTTTTCAGGCGAACTTGTCACTACATATCGGAACCTCAACTCACGCACTTCGCTGCTGCGAGCCTGAAGTAGGTGACTCCTAAGCCGAACACGAGGTGACACATGCACAGCACACAGGGGGCTTCGCTGCAAACCTCGGGGGTCACACCAGCTCAGACCTGTTGCGCTTGTAGCTTTTGATAGACCAGTTGCCAGAGACTTCCTGAGGGCGGGGGGGGGAAAGCTTTTTGTTGGCCGTGAGGACTACAGTGACAGCATGCCCAGCCAGTCAACAGTAAACACAGGGACTCTCTTCAGCTGAAGGCGAGGGTCCACTCAGCAGATCCCTCGCCCACTCGCTCCTCTGCGGAGTTTCGTGGCATGACAAGTCTTCGAATGGAAGCAGAGTAGCAGATGTTCGGAAATAGCTGGAAGATGCTGGAAGACTCATCCTTGCTCAAGTAGAAGAAAAGCGGCTGCACGAACGAGCCTCAATGCAGAACGAACTTCATGTAAGCTCCACTTGATGGGCTATTTCCAGGCTTCCATGCGCAAATGGCTGGGGAAGCATGCCACCTGGGAAGTGATAGCACGCAAACAGTGCTCTTTGCCTGCCACGTCCGGGAGCAAGTTGCACGTCGTCTGAGAGCGAAGCGAAGTCAGCAAGCTCCACTCTGACAGGCTGCCTCAGATCAGGCGTCGCGCAAGTGCATTTGTTCTCTGTCAAGTGTTGGCTTGTCCTTCATTTCGGTAGCTGAGGGCCTTGAGTGCTGGACCCTATCAGTAAGCTCAAGACGCATCACTGATGCGAAGCGTCTTCTTTAATCGAGCATACTCCTCCGCAGAAAATCCACACCTGCCGAGGATCGAATAGAAAGCACATTCCGAAATCCTAGGATTCGGGATCTCTTGCTCTAATGAGGGAGGACCACTGCGAGCAAGGTGTGGCTCCGCAAAATCCGGGGTGGCCTGTCCTCCCTGGGCGCATCAGCCTGAAGAGTGCTGTCGTGATTTGGAGGGTGTTGCTTCCTGTCCCCACACCCCTGTTTTGCAGCCCTGTCGTTGCCATAAACCCAGCCGTGGTATTCCCGCTCAGGCAGCAAACGCTGCACAATGCTGGGCCTGCACATGTGCAGCGCCTTGCCCCATGGTCGCATGTGTGCTGGCATGAGATGCTGCTAAAAGCTTCGTGATGCTGAAATGCAAGCGACGCAGCTCCTCTATGGCACTTCCTACGGCTACAGCCAGGTTGAGCTTGGCTCCAGACGTCGTTGCTGTCTTTGCTGCATGTCACATTTGGCGACTCCGCAGTCCACGAGCTGTCTTGGACCAAACACAAAACGAGCTCATATCTGCCTATGTCTGCCTCGCTGACCCGCCGTGGCTGACTGCTGAACTACACGCACCGAACAGGCAGAAGCTCCGCTTTGTCGTTCAGATCCTGTAAGCAATCTGTCTCGGGCTGTGTAGCAAGGGAGCTTCACTTCGTGAACGGATAGAACACAAAGTCCTTCGCGCGCTCTCCAATGCAGCGTCCAGCTGAGATAGCCTCAGATGATGCTACTTCCGACATCTGGAAACTTCGGCAAGCTACAACTCTTTTCACTCCCGCAGTCTTTTGCCGTTCGAGGGCTGGTGGGCCCCCCTGCGAAGCTGACGACGGCTCGGACGTTTGTCGCATACCAAGGCTGTTCGTGGTGCACAATCGCAGCATTCGAACGTCAGCCGCAGTACTTCGACTACTACTACTACTACTACTACTACTACTACTACTACTAATACTAATACTGCTACTGCTACTACTACTACTACTACTACTACCACTACCACAACTACCACAACTACCACAACAACAACAACAACTACTACACATATATGTGTATATATAAATATATATCAATATATACAGATGCATGTATGCATGTATGCATGATTTGGGCAATGCCTGTGATCTGCACGCGAGAGATATCGGATTAATTCCTTCTCGATGCCACACGCGTGAGTGGTCTGCTACGTGCTCGGAGCGCTTCAATTAGCACTTGGTCTGATGCACATGCTTCAGAGCATCTGACAGCACATCAAAGTTGTGCTAGCAGCACAAG